CAATCCATTTTGGTTGTGACTGTGTTCTGCCTTGGCACTGCTGTGATTTTTTTTTTTTTTTTGTCCCATAGACTGGTCTAAAAAATTTATGAAGAATAAGGATGTACTACAGTTAAAGACTTGAAGAGCTGTGTTTGCATGATGGTAAACTTGGGGGAAAATGTTAAATGAGAGGAGGTGGCTGGGTAGGCTTTAACACTCACAGTACCATCTGCCTTCAGATAGGCTCTTTTGAGAAGGGTCTCTAATAAGGCTCCTCAAGCCTTATTAGTTGCTAAGCATAAAACCCTTGTGTTCAGGTCATGTTGATTTTGGGCTTTGTATCATGCTAGAGGTGTGGATAATCAGGGTTTGGATGTACTACACCTCAGGGTGTATATCCTATCTCCTCATCAAACTGCTTTTGGTTTATAAATTGGTCTCACTGCTTTTTCACCCAGTGTTAGTTTGGTTTGACACCTTGGCTTTGCTTGTATATTTGGAAAGGAGTTCTCTGGCCATGGTACAGTGCTTAGTGTCAGGTCTGGAGGGAGAGGTGTGTTATATAAATTTGTTACTAAAACTCACTGTAGTGCTTTGCCTTTCAAATGCTTGTTCTTAGCATGACTGCTTACTGGAAATTGTATGTCAGTAACATCATTGCATCAGGATAGATCTTTTACTTGAATTTGACACCCAGCTAGAAGCATAACCAAAAGAAGGAAGCTGCAGGATGGAGTTTTTAGTAACAAAAGTGCACCCTCAAACACAGATTAGGTACATGGTTGTCATGATACAAATGAGATATGAGATCCCAGAGCCTTTTATTAGACTTACTGGTGCCAGTATAAAATATGGCTCTGAGCCTGCAGTCATGCCACAGAAAGGCTCAGGAAGTTCATCTGTGGTTAATTGTCTTTGCAAATTTAGGTCTACTTAGAAACCTGTGCACTTACTGTGCTGGGTCTGGCCATCAACTCAACCTTCACAGCCTACTTTGAATGGAAAAACATACAGTTAAACTCTAGCAAGTTTAGGACAAAAACTGCAGGATAAATATATCTGAAGTGGCTTGAGAGGTTTAGGTGTTAATGTTGCACAGCATCAGAAAAACCTGGGTTTTCTGAATTCATAATTGTTACAGGAGAGGATTGTATTTTTATACTGTTACAACCTGTGAAGTACATTTGAAGACTTGGAGTCTTAGAGTTACTTGTGATGAAGTACTTTAGCATAGAGGAAAAAGGCTGCATGCCAATTTTTTGTCTTAATGTTAGGGTTTGATACCATTACTCAGAAGTCTTGATGCAGGTTCTTGCTGCTGAATTATTATTATTTCAGTCTGCAGAGCAAACAGTTTCCCTCCATTGTTTTAAGTCTTTCCCACAACAGTTGTAAGAGAAATACTAAGTACAGGAAATGGTGTCTGTAAAAGTAAGATTTGATCTGAAATCTGATTGCCTGAACTATTGCTAAGTCTTTTACACTTCTGAAAGCTGAAGATGATGTCGTTCTTTCTGTTGATAATTTACTTAGCATATTAAACTCATTGTACAGTAATCTCCGTCAAACACACTTTTGCTTTTCTTTTAAATCGCATTATAAATTGAGGAAGAGAAACAGAAATACTTGTATACAATAATTTTTTTTCCCATGTCTTCCTTCTATAGCACTGCCTTCCTGAGTTGGCAGAAAGTGAAACCTTTCTGTTCTTTGTCCAAACAGAACAAAATGCAAAAGCCAATAGTAGAAGTAGGAGTGAGAATCCATTTGACTTTTTAAATTCTTGCCTTTGTTAATAACAGAATGGGTTAATACTATTGAATATGGTGTTGTATTTTTTAAAAAAAGAAAGTTATTGACTTTTGTATGTGCTTAACGGAGGAGCAGGGGGAGTTTTCAAACACCTCAAAAGAGCTGTAGAAATAAATCTTTGGAGAAAATTCTGTAACAAGTAGAAATATTCGAGTTGGTTTGTGCATCTTAGCATTGATCTCCTCCTGAACTAATCAAACCCCTCCTAACATACACACGGTGTAGCTATACAGTGCCTTGCAGTCTGACCTACACTTTTCTGCACACCCTTCCGAGTAATTAGACAGGAGCAGGATCTTCTGTGTAAGCCTTTGAGCTTTGTTATTTCCGTGCTGTGCTCAGTGTAAAATGCAGTGCTGAGAGACTGGCCTTCTTTGGCTTAGCCAGGGCATCTGGAGCTGCTTTGCATCTGATCTCCTCTGAACAGGAGTGAGGAGGATTGGGTCTGCCTGTGGTGTAGCACCCTGTCATAGCCCGTGTCTGGTTCTGGTAAATCAAACCTGTTGACAGCTGGCTTAGCTGGTTTTTTCATGTTCTCTTTGGATCAAGATGATCTTTAAGGTCCCTTCCAGCCCAAACCATTTAATGATCCTCTGTATTTGTTCCTCAAATGCCCAAATGCCAGTGGGAGGCTAGTCCCAACTATCCTTTGTGACTGACAAAATTTCTGTGTGGTTTGGGGAGGGATGTGATTTCTTTTGGGTGGGCTTTTAAAATTTTTTGTTCTGTTTTTTTTTGGTGGGGTTTTTTTTTGTTTTGTTTTGTTTTTGTTTTTGTTTTTGTTTTTTCTGTTTTTTGGTTGGTGGTTTTTTTGTTTGTTTGTTTTTTGTGTTTTTGTTTGTTTGTTTGTTTTGTTTTGTTGGTTGTCCTTACCTTTTCAAACACTCTGTGTTTTTGCAAGGATATAAACCTGGATATTTTATATATTCTGTGTTGTTGAACTAACTGGAAAATTAGGGGGGTTGAGAGATAGAAGCTCTGATGATAAATGCATTTTTCCCTTGTAAAACTTTATCTGTATTCTCTGTGCTAGGCACTCCTGAAGGAGAAATTCAGTGTGAAGAGAGGTTTTGTGACAGTTTTGCCCTTAGCGACCCTTAGAAGCACAGGAGAGGAAGAATTAAAGGAAAGAGCTGCAGTGTGCAAAGTCTGAAGAATTAACATCAGTCTCTTTTTCATACAGAGGAAAGAGAAGAGTTGACTGGAGGAAGAAATCTTTCCTGTGGTACTGGTAGAGAAGAACAGTACTTGAGACCTAGATAAGGCCTCACAAGCAGCAGAAGTGTATCACACTGCAGAAGCTATCTGGGCTGTGATCAGTGTTCTAAAATACAATTTAAGAAACAGTCAACAAAATAGGTGTTCAGTTAGTTCATCTGCAAACTTGAAATCTATTTGATAATCCCCATATAGTGCAATTCAAAAGTATTCTTAAGCTTAACTTTAATTAAAAAAAGGCATCATGGTAGAGTATACCACATTGCATGTTTGCTGAACAGCATGTACTATCTGGATAAATGACTGAAAACTTTGCCACGTGGCATTTATTTACTCCTTTATGCCAAATTTTTTTTTTTTGCTGTTTTTGGTTTTTTTCTTGTGAAATCAGTGGGTACAAACCTTTTACTGAATATTTCCGACCATGTTTTTATTCATTGTATGAAAATAATATGATGCTCTGTTACCAAAACCAAAAAAACCATCAGGTTGTAGTCATATATTGTAATATCAGCGGCATTTTTTTCCTGTAAGAATGACAGTGGATGCAAAGGTGTGTTTACCTTGAGGAGGGATACAGTTGCTTTCCAAAATAATGCTGTTTATGAAAGTTTATTACAAATTGTCTACGGGAGAGTAAACATGCAAGGATCAGGGTATATAACGTTTTCTTTGGAACATACCTTTGGTAAATATATTTTTAACGGTTATTAATCTGTTTCCTGACTAGGAAACCAAGGAAATCAAAGTGAAAAGGAGATTATGGCCATATTTGTTATTCACTGCTGTGTTGTTTCTGACTTCCATCTCCTATGCAGTTAGAAACTCTGCAGGAAATGGATATGTGACTTGTGTTGAAAACTTTCAGGTTTCCTGTTTCTCTGGATGTGTTAGTTTCTGGCTGAGCAGGTTAACCTTTAATGCTGGGCCGTATCTCTCCAGATTTTCCTTTGCCCTGGAAAAGCTTTTGGTCTCCACTGTTCCTGACCACACTGCACATCTGGCAATTTCTTCCTTCCAGTCTCACAATTCCAGCAGTGCAGTGGCACCAGCTATGTGCAAGTCACTTTGAATTCTGCTGTCAGTTTCTTGTGAATAAAGTGTTTCAGAATTCCAGGGAGCCCTGAATATAAACGTATCAATTATGTGTCAACACAACAGCATCTGTCGTTGAAATTGGGTATCGTTTATTTGGCATCAGCATAGCAAAGATTTGGCTGACAGCCAGAGTGAAATATTCCAGCAGAAGCTGCTGCAACAGAAGCCATCTTAGAAGCAATTTGCTGAAATTCAGGTGGTCTAACATAATCTTTTAATAAATTCTTAAGACATGAGGGACCTTAAACAAAAAGCCTCTCATGTTCTATATTCTTGTGTATTATTACTTCTTTACCATGTCCAATTTTTTTTCATGGTTCCTCTCTTGAAAGAGATAGATACAAGGTTGTGGGATGTATCTATCCCATAATTCAATATCCTTTTTTGGCTTTCCACTTCTTACTTCAACATTGTTTACATAAAAGCTCCAAATGAAGGCAATTGGTGATGCCTCCTTTGGGAAAACTTTGCTTATGTATGAAAGAGGCAAAGCTCTCAAAACAAGAGAGTAAGAAATTGCCCCTTGTAAAAGATATGTGTTCTGGAAGTTTTGCACATTTTTTCTTTTCTGAATAACTTAGTCTCTTCCTTGCTTTTTCTTAGATCTTTTTCTTAGATTTAAGTAAGTTTTGCTTTCCCAAAGATGTGAGTAAGTCGAGTGAGTAATTTCAGAAAGTTAGGAAAACCCCAAGTCTGTAACACACGCCATTTGTCACAGACAACTGCCATGGTTGAGTAAGCATTTTAGCGTACCTGTGGAAAATGGGGAACTCAGATGACTTTGTTTTTATGGATGATCTTCATCATACTTGAAGGAGGTGAAGAGGAAACTCTTTGATTTAATGATATAGCTTGTCACCTGGTTGAGTCTGATACCTGTTTAAAAATGAAATCAGGAAGATCAGAGTTAGAAAGGAGAAAATATAGCAGAAAAGCTCAGTTTCCTGTAGCATATCCAAATGTTTTCCTCATGTCTTTTTGCTTACTCTGGATTCCAAACAGTCCCCATCCCTTCATCAAATTAAAGTTTTTGCCCTTGGGTGCTAAAAACCCATAATTTCTAGGAAAGCATTAAAAACAATACAGGGATAAAAGTAGTTGGGAGAAAATACACATTGGGTTTTCAGTGCTGGAGGAAAAGCTTGTAGAATAAAGATGAACTGGGTTTTTTTTAAAGGTTTTTAGGGTTTTTTTTCTTGTGGGTTCCTCCCTTCCTCCCTGAGGTTTAGAGTCCTATGAAGTTGAGTTTCTCTCAGAGGGGAGAGAACAATGAAAGGGAGGGAGATCTAGCATATTGTCTGCATTTTAAATAGGCTGGTTTCTCTTTGATAGAAAATAAATAGTAAATTTGGATTAGCTCTTAACTTCCTACTCTCAGAAGAAATCACAAATCTAGAGTTAAGTAATGAAACCTCTCTAGGAAAATCAATGTAACGTGTATCCAAGCTCAATTTATTCAAGAGGTCAGCTTTGTTGCTGCCCTGGCATAGCTTGAATTTAATGATTAACCTCTTAATGACTGTTCATGTAACTTCCATCTGGTATTTTATATAAGTGTAAGCCAAGATGATAACAGAATGCTGTAGTAAAGCAGTGTCTGCTATTCAGGGAAAAATCTCATTCCAAATCCTGTATGCAGCATGCATCAGCCCCAGTGAAACTGAGAGAAGCCCATTAAGAAATCCGATTAGCTGTCTGCTCTCTAGGTGAGTTAAAATCTCTGTCCAGTGTGGTAATCAGTGATGTCTAACTGGTGGCTTATCTGGTAATAGTGCTGTCACCTTTTATAGGCGCCTCTTGTGCAGTTCCGCCTGGCTTGTGTATTCATTTTGGCCACGTAGAACACCGAGCGGCCAAGTGAGACCCTGTTATAAATTTTAAAATTCTCTTCAGAGCTGAGGCAGACACTGTCATGTTCTGTTGTGTTGCCCTTTGTTCCAGCAGGTTTCCTTGTGAGATCTCCAGGTGCCATGTAAGCGGTAGCACACAAGAAGGGGGAGAGTGTGCTTTGTGGGAAAGCAGCATGGAAAAGTGCAACATTAAGTTCAAGTTTCAAAGCAATGTCAAGCACTAGTTAGTGTGCTTGCTCCAGCAGTAGTTTTCTACAGGTGAGAAGAAAAAGAAACGTGCCATTTCGGGAAGAAATAATGGAAAATATTTCAAAAGTAGCTTTAGTTAATGCAGTAGCCTGTAAAGTCTAAATTGTTTTCTTGTTAAAATGCAGAATGTGAAGAAGAGCAATTCTAATGCCTGCAGTTTTTGATGTATTTATCTCCAGAAAATACAGATCTGATGTCCCTTCTGTATGCATAAATGTTCATGTCCGTGGAGAGATCTGGCTGAAACCTGTGGAGTGCTGCAATAGCAATCAAGATGAATTGCCAAATGGGAGCTGAACTTTTCATCAACTCTTGCCACATAAATATATAAATACGAATCTTTTGAAGGTGTCATCTGTTGGTAGTTGCTTCCCATCAGTGTTTATTCATCTTCTATTCCTTTCACTCAGAGGAGGTGAATTTAGACTGCAGCTGTCTTGATAGTTGGGGGTTTCTTAATCATTGTATGCTCTTTGCTTGTGGGTTCCATCAAATTACTGCGATCTCAGCCATGCTTTGTACCTTATTTTGTATTTCATTCCGTACTTGCTGTTGTGAAATATATTGTGTCATTTCTGCTTAGGTTTATTTTGAACTATTTTTAGCATCCTCAGCTGATTGAAACTTCCTTGTGCCCTCAAGGAAAGTGAGGTGATACCTATGGTACAGCACAGTAGTTAAGAGGTTATGCTTCTCTCTTCCTTTTCTCAGAAGTCTACTGTGTAGTTGTAGTTCAAGTTTCAAATATTCGTTAATTTGTGAAAAGAAATCTCACTTCTCTGTAGGAAAGAAGGGTAAGCAATACAAGCTGATGGCCTGCATCCTAGGAGGAGTAAGCAGATCTGATACTTCCAGCCCTTTGTAGGAAAAAGATGCTTCTCAGAGTCCTGCTGGAGGTGGTGTATACTCTCCTCTCCTCGGAGTGCACAGGAACTGCTTGTTGATTCTCTTGTGTTTTGGTGACCCATGCTCAGGAGTATAGGTAAATACACTTGGTATTATTTAGAATATATAGGTTTATAGTCTGGTTAATAAGAGGCTCTTTTAAACTACTGCCTGGTTTTCTGCTCAGATACTTAGTTTATTTCTCCCTCTGTGTTGAACCTCCATTCCTTGTCGTAGTCTCGTCTCTTCTTCCCAGTTCAAATTAATTGAAGTTTTGGAGGAAATTAGAATTTTCCTTTTCTTTACACTTACATCAGAAATTCAAAGGACAAAATTCCCCTTCTTCACTCTCAGGAGTGAAGTGCTATTTTATAGTACCGTCAGATTAAATATTGGGGTCACTAATCTACTTCTTGCACCACAATTCCTGTATAGAGGAGCAGCTTGTTTGGAGCAGTATTTGCAGAACCATTTCAGTACATCTCACTCACTGTTTTCAAGTCAGTACTGCAACCTTATATAAGCCAGTCTCCATCCACTTAACTCCAGGACAAATGTGGTGATTAATATTTATATAAAAGCTTTCATGTTTCCACAGTGAAATCGTCTCACTTTGAAAAGAAAAGGTGTCTTTTTCCCTGTTGACTTGGTGTGAAAAAGCTTGCAAAGGCTTCCAGCAGCACTGCATCCGAGACAGGCATCAGCAGAAGAACTGAGGTCATCTTTAATTTGGTATTTCATTTTGTGAAATTGCCTACTCCAAGAGAAATAAAACATTTACATGTATATTAACCAATGTTTGCCAGCTCTTGGAATAAAGCCAGTTCTCTCAGGGCCAAACAAACGCTCTGAGTGAATGAGTAATAATCTGCAATTGTCACTCCTAATTTATGGATGAGTAGATAGAGCAATGTTTGCCATTTTAAGTTGTCCTATTCGCTTGAAAGACTAGAAATCATGATTAGCTGTTGGCTTGGGGTATCAATAGCATGTCTGTTTATAGCTGATTTACTCAGTACAGCTGTTGCAAAAGTTCAAGACCTCCCCACATGATAAGAAGTAATTGTGAAAAAGATGAGAACACATGAAGGTTACAGATGTTTTGGGACACTGATTTGGAATCCACAGCCAGAAGATGAAGGATACATGGCATCTCCTCTTTATAAATGACAGCAAGGTCTCCCTGTGCCTCGTTTATTTTCTGAGGAAATCTGTATTGTCATCTTCTCACGTTAAGATAAAATTCAAAAAATCGATGGATTCCCAAGATAATGTCTGTATTGGCTTTTGTTGCTGATAAGTAAGAGGAGGGCATACTACTGATTATCTTAGAATTATGTTTCCTGTCTCTGAGCCTTTCCATTTGCTTAATTTTCCAACAAATGCAGTTAAAACCAGTTTTGGAAACTTTGGTTTACACATTCATGAGCATGCTTTTGTCATGAAGTTGACAGCTATCTTGCCATTATTGCAGTCAGACTCTTTTGTTGAGAAAGAGGTGTGTTTTTAATGGCAATGCTTAAAATCCTACTTTACAAAGCCCATGTTGTATACTGCAGGGAATGAGAGTCACTTTTGAGATTAAATTGTCTGCAGTGTATCCTGTGAAGTCTTCCATGAGGTCTCCTGACTGGTTATGGAGGAGGCTGCTCCATCACACCTAAATATCTAGGCAGGAGATGGATGAGAAGTACAAACCTCAGCTGTCAGCCACTAAAAGCAAAGATACACAGTGCACAGGTGAGACCCATCACTGATGTCTGTATCCTCTGATGGATGGACTCTTCCATCCACTTCTTTCAGTCTTTATTTTACTTCCATGCAGCTTTTCTTCTGTATGCTGGTTTGTCTTTGTTTTCATTTAGTTTCTTTTTTTTCTGCACACTAAGGGGCCTCTCCTGCACTTTCTATCTGGGCTTCATTATCTTGCTCACCTACTTGCAGTGCATCTTAATTTTTTTCTTCCTTTCCCCCCACTGTATTAAACTTCCTATGTGTCATCTTGTCATATGAAATAACAGCAAGAGAGGTCAGTGTTGCTGTTGTAGATACCAGGATGTCCACAGCCCAGGGTGCAGCCATTAATATTCTGTCTGTAAGCTGTGGAAGACAGGCTCTGAGGAGGTGCCTAAGGACATGATTCCTCAGCCCCTCTTGAAAGGTCAGATGTAGGACTTAACTTCTCTACTGTGTAGCCTTAGCTGTCATTTTGTTGTTTGTAAGCACTTGGATAAGATTAAAAACTAATATATCTCTCTTTTGAGAGAAGGTCAAATTATACGTGATTCAAACCCTACATGTATTGGATCATGGCAGGAACCTTTAAACACCCCTTCTCTGCACATGCACAGCTCCCAAATCCATCCATGAGCCCCCGTGCTGACTTGACTTCCACTGTTGGGAGCAACTTGGTTTGGTTGTTGAGTGCCTGCTGTTGAATTGACAAGAGAGATCTACTGAATACTCCAGTAAAATCATAGATATATAAAATACACAAATGTGGCTGGTTAAACAAGGAAGCAAAATGAGTTGTATTTTTAAGAGCTGGTCAGCAGTATCTTAATAAAAACAGGGAGGTGGGGAGAACTAACAGTACCACAGTACAAACAAAAAAAAACCCCAAACAAAGGAATGAAGGAAAAAAAACCAAACCCCAAACCTAAAAAAAAAGCAACACTCCAAAGAGAAAAAAACCCACAACCATTCCACCCAGCAGCTTGGAGCAATATTTCTTGAAATTGCTTTAAAATATGAAACCATTAAGATTAATCTGACTCAGTCTATGCAGAGTAAGATAGATAGATATGTGCTTAGATCTCAGCAGCAGCAAGTGCTTGCAGTATTATAAATAGAAAGCAAAAGTTGAGGTGCTTATTAAATTTGCCTTTATGATGCTTTGAAGAATTGCCCTAGAACAGAAAAGAAAAATTACCAGAGGCTCTGGATTAGAAGGATGACTTAAGTAGCTGTGCTGCCAAAGGAAACAGAACATAAACTAGAATAAGTGATAGACTTGTTCAGAAAAGGTTATCTAACAGTGATTTGTCTCTAACATGGAGATGTTGGCCAAGAGCTTTGGAGAGATGTGATTGAACACAGGAGGGCTTAATTTTTTTCATCAGTTTTAATATGGTATTGAGTTTTAATATATTTTCCAGGAGATTGCCCTGTAATCCTTTCTAGCGCTTACATTTCTCAGGTTTTTCGTTATTTCCCTCTTCCTCTTCCCCCAGCTGACAAGACCTCATTCTGCAGGAAACATTTGTGTTTGTGAAATGGAATCATTCAGAATTTTTGCAGCCTTTTTGGATAAGGCCATGGTGAGGATCCTGTTTCTTATTCAGAACTTTCTAATGTTCTTGAAACACTGTAGGGCCTCCACAGAGAAGTAGCTGAGCATAGCAGCTAAGGAATCATCAAGTAAACCAGATCAGAGCAACAGGCTCAACTGGCAGACTAATAAAAATAGATCAAAATCTGCAATGTTTTTTTCTTTAACGAGATACTCAAATTGATTTAATTTGGCAGGGAGGATACGAGGAAATCTTAGCATGGGAAAATAAGTGTGTTGGGGAGGAGTGAATTGCTCTGTGCAAGATCTGCTATCCTGCTTTTAATAACGAAGCACAGGCACCCTTTAAGGTGGAGAGAAGGTCTGCAGTGGCACAGTGTAGCTGCTGCACCCTTCTCCTTGGCTCACTGAATTGGAAGTTGCCTGGTAC